TGGACTGAAATGAAATATTGCAATACAAAATATGGCATGAAATAAAGAAAGGGGAATTTTATACAGCAAGGAAGTTTTTAAATGCCATTTTATCATGTTTTAAGTACACCCTCTCTGAAACTACTGAGTTTTTATACACCTTATTTTAAGATAACACCTTATATGGATGAAATTTTTCAGCTATTTTTATATGCATGTCATCATGATTTTTGGTGTCGCATTCTCATTTTATTTTAATTCTTGTCATTAGTGAAGTTATTTTTTCGTAGAACTTTACTTTTTGAAAGAAAGAAAAAAGTTAAAACAAAAACTTGTTAGATAATCTTGAAAGTTCATTAAACATTACTTTTTAGAATTATTTATTTATAAGAAGATCATAATTTAGCAAAATATTTTATCACATCCTAGATGATAAGTTAAAATACTAGACAGAATAGTTCAAAACTCTACAGATCATAATAAATCACATGACCAACCCTATGGCCAACCTACCATGATACTGTTTTATAAAACACATTTTAGATGTCCAGAAATTCTAACAGTCACCTTGGTATATGATAAAATTACAAAAATAATCATGATAATGGAATTCCTCTTTTACCCTTACCCTCATGGAAACTTGTTTAATAAGGAAATGTTGTAGTATTTGTCATATTAGGTATATTCCATGTCATATCCAGGAAATTTAAAAAATCATATCCAGTAATTTATTATTATGTCATATCCAGTAAATTGATGTCATATCCAGTAAATTCCTATGTCATATCAAGTAAATTGTTTTGCCATATCTGGAAAATTGATGTCATATCCAGTAAATTGGTATTTCATTTAGTGAAGATTATAATGTCATATCCAGGAATTTGATTTGTCAAATTGGTAGTGTCATATCCAGTAAAGAGACTGATCAGTATTGACCTACGTAAATATGTTATACTGATCTTATCCTGATCATGATAATGGAAACTTTATATCTAAGTCTACAATATGGGATAAATAAGCTGGCTGTATACATGGGTTTGACTCATAAGTACATGAAGCTGATGCTGTATTTACTGTCTCAATCTAATGATGAAGTTAAGATAAAGCTACCTGTCATTGAGTAAAGTTTATCTGGACTAATGTAACTATGTATTTGAATATTGTATTCCTCTAATTCTTTTTGAAGTTTTTTGTCGCTAATATGGGAAGGTAATTCATTTATAATGTTCTGTATAAAGTTGGAAAGATCATGTAGTGGTTCCATGCCAAATATTTCATAGTTGTCCAAGTTAAGATGATGGGTTGAAAGAGTAGGGGTTGTTGTCATAAGAGCTGGTGGTCTGCAAATTCCATGAAGTAGGGTGGAAAGATTTTCTTGTAGTTCGGGACGTAACATGTTGTGAATATCGACATCTCTGCTTTCTAATTCTTCTATAAGGTCGTCTTTCTTTAAATTTTGGAATGGATTTAAATTTCCCTTTTTCAGCTCGTCGAAACATCTTGTGGATTTTATTACACCGACTCGTTCATCTAGTGTAAGGGGTTCAATGCCATAACAGAGAACAAAATTACCGTGATCATTAGCATGAACCCCACATACACAGGGATAATTTCCACCTCTCTGCTGTCCAATTTCAAATTGTCTTGCAGGACCGTCACCGCTGAATACGCGCATTACATCAAAAATATTTATTTTACCATTGTCCGTTGTTATAGGTTCAGATAAGATTTGCAGGTCTTCATTTCTAACTGCAGTGTAACTTGATTGTTCTAAGTCGCTGCTACCTGATTGGCCGAAAATATATAACTTGGGCTTTTCAACAATACCTTGAACGTTAATTGGCTTACGGTCTGGATACTTTCTCTTTGTACTCTATATCAGTAAAATAGTTGGCAGGATCATATAGCCATGAGATGGTGAAACATACATAGGAATGGTTTAGGATGCTGCTGTGGTCGTGCCAAAGTTTCATTTTTCTTGTTCTTTCAGTGCTTTTGAGATGTTCTATTTTATCTGAAAGAGTTCCTGCTGGTGGTTTCTGTCCGATCCTGATATAACGAGATGTTAGTTGTTCCATGGTTAAGCTGTCATATTCCTGGTCACTAAAATACCTTAATACCCCACTGCTTACCTGTTCCTGCAAAGCTGTTCTTCTAAGTCTAATGAGGGGGAATTTTCTACCATGTATTACAGTTGTTTTCTGCTGCAATTTTCCGTCTGTTATTGTCGTTGAAATGATGTCCTTTGGTGCTATTTCTTCTCCTAAATATAAGTCTCCGGAAGTTAACTTTTCCTTTATGTCTTTCTTTAAGTGGGATGACTGCCTTGGAGTTGGGAGGGAAAATTTTGTTCTGTTGACTGTTACCACTTTTTTTGCCCTCCTTATCCTTCTAAAATATGCCCTATGGTTATTATAAAATTTAGATTTGAATTTGATGGTGTTAATTCCATTGCTTCTTGCATATTCCTGTAGAATTTGCCCCCCGTTTGCAGGAAATTTGCCGTTGCAGGTGATGTGATATTTACGCGCCAGAGCTGTCCAGTTGATAGTGTCCCCTTCATTTTTGGTTTTAATCTCTGTCAAAAATTCTGTTTTGTCAAATCTGTAAGAATCAAATTGTCCATGGTGGTTTCTGTGTTTCCTCTTAGCAGTTTTCTCTTTCTCTAGGCTCTTATTTACTCTCTGTTGGGCATGGTCTTTGGTTTCAAAAAAATTGCCGAGGCGAATCCTGTCATGCTCACGGAAGGAAATTGATGAAGAAAGAAAATTGTAAACGTCATTACCTCCGTCGGTGAAAGATTCATTGATTTTTTTTCTGCTTTCTTGCATAACTTTAATCTTTGTGGATTGCAATTCCTTTGGTGTTACTGGTGGGGAAAGCATGATGGAATCTGAAATGGGTCTTGGAAATTTCATATCTAAACGTTGCTCTACTATGGGTTGGATGATGTTGACGATAGATTTTATTACTTTCATTCCCTTGGTGGTGGTATTGCTGTTTGGTGATGTTATCTTCAAAATGTTTTCTGTCCCTTGTTCATAAAGCTGGTGTGCATTTTCAAAATTAGGTGCCATGGATGTATGAAGACTTGAAAAGTTGTAGTGAACAGTGGAACAAGGTCTACAGTCAACTAGCTGGTGTTGAAGCCTTTCATTGGAGCTAAGTGAAAGCCAATTCTTAAGTGAAAAATGGCTAAGGAAAGAATGCTGCTGTCCAGATTTGTTAAGATTTTTCCAGTATTTCTTGTCTGAGAGATATGATTGTAGCTTTGTGGATTTGCTTCTAAATTGATCGAAATTCAAAGACATTTTGGGATACTTTTCCATAAAAATTGAATAATTGTAGTATCTATCTTTCATGTTGATAAAATTTGTAAGTCTCTCCTTCTCATTTTCTTTATCTTTTTGTGTATTCCACCAGTTTATTGTCTCAATATCTTTGGTAGATCTGCTGATGATCACTTTTGCGAAGTTACAGTAATTCATCCTAAAATTAATTTAATTCATATTGTATTTAAATATTTTGGGGGAAGGTTAAGGCAGCAAGGTTAGCTTTTATTTTTAGCTAATGAAATTTTTGTGATAACTGTGCATAAGTTGCCCTTTACACATATTACTTAATGTGAAGTCTGAAACCAAACTGGGAAAAGACTATTTATTTGTGTAAATTAACTAGTAACCCAACAACACAAAAAAGTAATCAATATTCATGAAAAGATTATAGTCCTGTCCCAAAGGATGAGGGGGTAAACTGTTAAATATAAAAATAAGGAGATGAGGTATGATTTCCAATGAGACAACTATCCACTGAATTTCAATTAAATAGGAGTAAGCAATTATTGGCAACCATACTCCCTTCAACAATGAGAAAAACCCATACTATAATGTGGATGGGCTATGAAAGGCCCAGAAATGTCATGTTTGTCTGCCAAACCTATATACACTGTTCAGTCAGATTTTCCTCATGAACTACATATAAATCACTTTAATACTGAAATTTTGTATATTTTTTTAATTCATATAAGCTTGCTATACTGTGTGATTTGTTTAAATCATCTCTTAGCAATTAACTGTGAACCAAATGCTTCTATTAAACTTGATGCTATGGATAATTTTATTTGTTATATATATAGTTTTCATGAGATCATCCCTGATTTTTGTTGTGGTTCGTGTTTCTCAGTCTTAAGTTTTTTACGTTGTCTTTTTCTTCCTTTGGTTGTCAGATTGTTCTCTACTAGTAAGTGTGAATTTCCTTTTTGTATTTTCAGCCTCTCATTTTTTAATTTAGTGATTACATTTGTGACTTGGGATTGGCACTAGAAAAAAAATTAACATTCTTGTGAAGAAAAATCAAATTACCAGCCTGTATTTTTTAATTTTATTTTATGGTTTTAAATAGATAAGCTGTGGTGTGATTGCCAATGAAACAACTATCCACTAGAGACCAAATCAAGTAGAAGAAAGCAACTATGGTCACTGTACCGTATAGTTATGACAGTCCTCAACAATGAGCAAAAGCCATACTGTATATTAAACTATAAAAGACCCGGACATGACTAGTATTATAAAAAAATTCAAACAGTTACAGGATATCAAGCAGCCTTTTTTTTCCCCCAGAAATTAAGAAAAACTTTTATGTTTCCGGGAAAACGTTAAATTACATGATAAAAACAATATTCATACATTGTATAATGGCAAAATTTATTTTGAGAGCATATTTTCCTATACATTATGAATACTGTTAATTAAGAAATTATTACAATGTTTCTATTACATAAATGTTAAAAATCTGACACTGAGTATTATGTTCGCAATGATAAATCAACACCGTGTTGTTTGTATAAAGGGACATAACACCACTACTAACAGTGTATTGAAATAAGCCCGCCTAATAACCTAATATGGAATATAAACGGTCTCCACGTGGTTGCTTTTAACCAATCATATTCCTAGAAATGTATTGGAAGTAAGATCAAGTTGTTTACACTGATCTTTAATTCTTTCATTTAAAATAGAAAACAGATTTGAAAGGAGATCGAATTCGATAGACAAATTCATCTACAAGCCTGATGACCAAGACTAGTGAAATTACCAGGGGAACTTGATAAATCAACACACAAGAAGTCAAATGAGCTTCTGCATTCATTCTCATAATCTATACTACTGGACAACAGTAAGTGATGTCATTGGGATTATTTGTTATTAAGAGTAGATGACTATTTAAAAAAGAAAACATTTAAGGTCAAATATTGCTGCTACAATAGTGTTTACACATTACAACTAGGACATTTTTGGGAGAAACAGTTCTTTTGTATATGTCTGTCAAATAAAGTTATGATATACTATTGTCAATAACCTTGTTAGATTTAAACCAAAATACAAAGAATAACTTCAATAAGGATTCTTATTATTTTGGACAAGTTCATCATTTTAATTTCGAACAAGGTGAACACAAAGGAAAATATTTTAGGAAAGGTTTGCTATGCAATCTTACCAAATTCATGAAATTAGAATGGTGAAAAAGAGAATGACCCACATTAAACTCCTGGCCGAATAAAAAATAAAACCAGTCATTTCTACACCTTTGAACTTATTTGCCCAATATACTACTGCAACCTTTTGTCATCGCAACTCCTCTCAAACCACACAACAGAATTTCATGAAACCTTTTCAGATAATAAGGACATACTACGTAGATGTGCATATCGACAGGAAATTACGATTCAATTTTTTTTCCAGGAGTTACACCCCTTTGAACTTATTTGCCCAATATACTACTGCAACCTTTTGTCATCGCAACTCCTCTCAAACCACACAACAGAATTTCATGAAACTGTGTAGATAATAAGGACATACTATGTAGATGTGCATATTGACAGGAAATTATGATTCATTTTTTTTTCTGATACAATTTTTTTTTCTTACACTTATTTTATTTCTCCAATGACAATGTGGGGACGTGGGGTATGTGAGCGCGCTCACTGAGGTTCTTTAATTACCACAAAACTCAGATCAAGTACAAATTTGGGTAGCGTCACTTTTATTGTTTTTGAGTTATGTCCCTTTATAATGTTGTATGCAAGCAGGGGCATCATCTGTGTCCATGTGGACACATTCTCCATTTATTTAAATATTGATTTTAGCTGAAATGATAGGACTTTTTTTTTTAATGAGAACTCACTTTTGTCCACTATATATGTACGGTCAGTGACTTGATCACAAATGATTATAAGATCAATGCAATTTGATTGCACAAATAGCACAGCTGCAGTTTTTAAAGTTTTATGTTTTTATAGATATAGGAAGATGTGGTATGAGTGCCAATGAGACAACTCTCCATCCAAGTTACAATTTATAAAAGTAAACCATTATAGGTCAAGGTACGGCCTTCAACACGGAGCATTGGCTCACACCGAACAGCAAGCTATAAAGGACCCCAAAAAATTACTAGTGTAAAACCATTCAAACGGAAAAACCAACGGTCTAATCTATATAAAAACGAGAAACACGTATGAACTACATAAACAGACGACAACTACTGTAATCAGATTCCTGACTTAGGACAGGTGCAAACATTTGCAGCGGGATTAAACGTTTTAATGGACTGCTATACTTTATATTTTGTGCATTGCTTCAAGGATTATGTTCTACACTCAATTCTGCAATTATTTTGTATTTCTTATTTCAGACTTTCTCAAAACCTGAGCGTACTTGGTTGATCAATTTATGTGTTGCAGCCCACAGAGAAAAATAACAAAAGGACCAAGAACTAACACTACAACTGAATTGTTTAAAATCATCCGAAGTTTGCATTTGATGTACATGTATATTGCTTTATAGCTTTGTGTAAATTTGATAAATTTGATAATACAATTTCAGAGAAATATGAAATAAATTTGATAGTACAATTTCAGTGAAATATAAAATGAATTTGGTATTAATACAATTTCAGTGAACATATGATATAAAAATATATTAATAAGAAATTGTATATCGAAGGTTCAAATTTTCACAATTGCTATAATATCTGTAAGCAAATGATGGAGAAAAACAGTGTTTGTTTGTTTTCTTTAGAAAATTTGAGACCTAAGTGATTAAAGGTCCTTGATTTGCAGTCTGAAGTTTTAAAAAAAAAAAGGTTGTAAGGCATTTATAAAAATTGGATATAGTATAAATGCCAATGAAACAACTATCCATAAGAGACTAAATGACACAGAAATTAACAACTATAGGTCACTGTATGGCCTTCAAAAGTTAGTGAAACCCATACTGCATAGTCTGCTATAAAAGGCCCCACAATGACAAATAATGAATGAAAAACAAAAAAAATTATATGATATACAGCTACAAAAGACAACCACTGAATTACAGGCTCCTGACTTGGGACAGGCACATACAGAATGTGGTGGGGTTAAACTAGTTTGAAGGCGAACCAACCTACCCCAAACCTTCAACTCCTTTATATACAAAATACAAATTGCAAAACAAGATGAAAATTTACAGCACCCTCTTTTTATGAGCAGGAAGCTTTTAGAAGTTCATTGCAACATTTGAGGGTTGGATCTGCATTCCTTTTGTATATATGTTTCAGTGAAACCACTATTTATTTTTTGTTGATATTGTTTTGGTATAAAATAAGGAGGTGTGGAATGCTTGCCACTGAAACAACCCTGTAATACCTACTAACTGGTCTGATTCAGATTGCATGGGTTGTTAGAAGTGTGTAGTTGATAAATAGAGAAAAACCACATATTGTCTCAACAAAAAAAATAGCTAAAGCTTGTACACTGCACACTTGGCAGAATGCAAGGAGGTGTGTGTCTATTGTATCCTATTTTGGATGGACTTCAAATAAAAAAAAATTGTGACAAGATAATATTTTCATTCTTTTACATATGTTTCATTAAGGGCTGTTCCAGAAAATACTATGTCACCCCCCAGGGAAGGCAATTTTTTTTTATATTATGTGGTTGGTTGTATTTGAAATACCAAAATGCAAAGGGAGTGTTGTTCTAATTTATTATAATTTCTGTGGGTGGTGAGGTTTAAAAAAGTGCTGTTCATGGTGGGGACATAGTATTTTCTGGAACAGCCCTTATAGGAATTTTAAACCATTGCAGTCTAATGCAGATAAATTGTTTAGTCTCCTAACATCAATTTGATTGTAGCTTCCTAATGTTGTATTTTGAATAGGAATCAACAAGTGTGTACCTCAAAGATTTTTCTATAAAGTGTTAAGTGGTTTTCTGTTTTTTTTACACCTGAAAACTTTATAATTGCATTTCTTATTGTTGTAATAATTACTCAATCTACAAATTGGAATTAGTTATTGGAAAAGAAAGCAGGCAATCTTGTAATAAATCTGTATTTCTTCAACCAAAGAAGTGAATTCATGATTTGAGTTTTGCTGGATCAGCAGACTTCTCAACAAATGTTTCCAAAAAATCATACACCATGTTTGGATTCTGGAACACACACACACACACACACCCTTTTTTTCCCAACCAACATTTCCCCTGTTTTAATTCCTGGATTTTTTATGAAGTATTCCACACTTACTTTAAGAGTGGGTTGTTTGCTGAAATTTTTTTACATTTGAAATATGCAGAACGTATATTACCTTTATGCTGGTGATAATAGTAAACTTGATGTTCAGGAAAATATGAAGGTATGACTGGAATAAGGTAGGTGTTTCTCAACAAATGATGGAAAACTAAGCCAAATATAAATATTTTTCTGGTATTAAGTCGATCGATACAATTTTAAACACTGAAATTTAAACAAAATATGCTGGTGGAAAATTTCAAGGTGTCCTCTTCAAAATGAATCGATGGAAATGATATTCAACTCTACAAGGTGGGGCAGAAGGTAGCAAGGGCCACATGTAGGAAAGTGTGAAAGTAGGTGATGAAGAATGCTGGTCAACACAATTTGTACATCTGCATTTTTATTCTCTAATTTATCAACTGGATGCTTTTTATAAAACATAATCTAGTAAATTTCACAAAGCATTGAAAGGTTGCACCCCTAAAAGCGTACTTGGACTTGACTGAAAAAGAAATCTGATCAGTAAAATATTTTTTTTTTCAATTCTGGCAGTAGCAAAAGTTGCATACATCAATTAAATAAATAAAAAAATATATGAACGATATAAATAAATACAAATAACACATTGCATTAAAGGCGCAAAACAGTCCATCGATTCAAGTTTTCGCGGCATTTACACTTCTCTGGTCTCCGGAAAATTGGATTTGTCCGCATATGTTCAAGGTGTTCTCAAACAACGTCTTCAAAGCGTTTGATAATGGACCTGAAACGATACAAAATAAAACTCGATTAAGAATATTAAAAAGTCCAGCGTGTTCCTGAAGACAGATTTACTTGATTTTAACCAATTTCAAATAAGAAATGTCTCTTTTAACAGAATATTGCTATCCAAACACTTATACATCTTGATTTCAATACAAAAAATGGGTGTCCACGGGGTAATTCGTAAAAACGTCACTATTTCTATCAGATTTACATCAGTTTGTACCTTTTGTCAGTATAGTGTCGTCTTTGGATAGCAGTTTTAAGAAAATATACATTCAGACGAATTCATTGATACTTTAATTTTTGTTGAAAGATTCCAGCAACACGCTGGACTTTTGAGTTGAAAATGAAATGAACGACCTTCAGTAGCTGCTCGGGTCACGTGACTACTTTCACTTTCGATATAAATAAACACTGAAAAATTAAATTTAGATTTTAATGATTCACACTACTACAGCTGCTCTGAAGATTATTTTGGCAATCTTAATTAAAAGTTGATTAAAAATAATATGCTTTTTAACGTATTTTTCTCGGTAAAGTGCCTTAATATCACTGCGTAGTTGATAATCGTTTGGAAATATTCCGATGCAGTCGAGTTATTCCATTGAGGCAAATACGTCGCTATCTAATTCAAAGTTTCTTCTGTTTGTGTTCTCTATTCTTCTTTAATATTACATTCATCTCTTAATGAATATATGACTTCTTTTGAATGCTAGGACCAGGAAAGGAGGTACTAAATGACCAAATGTACATTTACATTTGTCGCTTATGAATGGTCTACAGTACTAGAGGATTCAATCTATGAAATATTCTAAATTGAATATGTAGTTCCTCCCTCGAATCTTGGTAGTTTTACAAACAGCAGCCGTGGACAATATTGACAACAACAAGAGTTCATCTACGGCTAATAATCGGTACATACATTTTGTAGTATGACACTTTCAATATTTCAGCATTTTGTTCTTAGTCTTACTTGGCAAATTCGTATAATTGCTTAGTATATATATTACTATAGAATAAGATATATCCTTAATACTAACCAAATAAAGCTTTTCATACTTGCATCTAATATCTGTTTTATGGACATGTACTCTGTCAATTTTCTAACCAGAAATACATGTATGCCAGCCTGGTATAATTAGTCAATTGTGCAACTCTATCCTTACATGGTATAAATAAGTTGACAAAATGATAACTAAGATGGCTTGAAGCAGATGATAATGAAAATAATAAATGTGTCTGGACAGCATTCCATGCATGTAGAGCCAAGACAAACGATCATCCTTCTTTATGTATTAGTCCGCATTGACCACTGTTTCAGGAAGAGTTCAAATCTGTCACACTGATTCGACCTTCCATGAATATAATACAACAATGTGTTTACTTTTTCCGAGACAATTATCACGTGTGATCAATCGTGTTTGCCTTTGCACGGAACAGTGGAACTAGGCAAACATATTTCTAGCAGAATAAAGAATAGTTTTGTTTTAGGTCTTCATATAAAATGGCATCGATGAGAACCTTGTGTGATTGGTTAGAAAACAGTGGTTGAACAAGTGTTCAATCAAGGAAACATAGTGCTTCATGAATAGCAGATTCTTTTTAAGAGGCTCTCATGCATCATTACAAGAAATGTCCATGAGGTAACGGTGGATGTACTTTTCATTCTTAGGCAAATATCCTAACACGACTTTTACTGAGAAACGAGATTCTGGTGAGAACTATGTAGAATTCAAATAGTGAAGTAATAAGGGAGAAATTGAGAGTCCACTTAACCACAACTGGTCTGTATCATTAAAGACTGAACTGGACATGTTGATGTGAGATCATTAAGAGAATGTTCCTTCTGGGTGAATAAAGCATTATACTGCTTATTCATTGGCTCTTTTGCATTTTCCATCCAAATAATGGCTTCCAGTACTTGTGCGCGATATTATGCTATTTAACTATACATTTTAAGTGTTGCAAACGTAATTTGAAAATGGTAAATGTAGATCAAGCCCATGAGTAGAATTACACACTTGTAAAAAGAGAAGGTTTGTCAATCAGATTGACCATCAATATCACACAACTACGGCATTTAATGGTGTTTTGTCTAGAAATAGGCATAGAAATTAACAAGTTTTAATCCACCTTTGAGTAAATAAAACGTGATCAGGTAAACCACATGATTTTCTACATAAGGAGCGGTTTTAAAAGAAAATCCACAATATTCTCAAAGCATGTGAGAGCTTTAGGTGGGGAATGTTTCGGCCTTTTACCCTGAGGTTCTACTTTGAGTGAATGTGGATGGCTTATACCCTATTGGACATTATCACAAAGTTATCAGCATTTTGTAATGAGCTAATAAAATGCGGCTGACAGTGTAAAACGGATGTCACGGTAGATGAAAATGCGCAGGGCCAATGATGTTATGTACGGTGCTGTTTAAAATGTGGTGGGGAGTGAATCAAAGGCTAAACGGGCTGTCCCGAAGAAACATTGAACATATGTTGTTGTTTAGATGATGGAAAATATGACAGTGGTCATATAAAATATCTAAACCTTGTCCGAATGTGAACGTTTGAAATAAAATAAGGTTTATCATGCCTGTACGATGGA